AGTCTCTGACTAAAGCGTTCCATTCGTTAAGGGCATCTGCACTGAGATTGAGACTAAATATAAATGCAAAAAAAAACCAAATATATCAGAAAAGTTTTTGACATAAAAGGACCGATGTGACAACGAGCAACTACAAACTATTGGAGTTAGCGCATGGAGAAGTTGCCAGAGACAGGAGCGAATGGAGGATTGTTCTGAAGAAGGTTTTCGCTCATTACAGATTGTAATGCCACTGATGAGTATGATGATGAATGACAGTGTTTGTTTGGTTTAAAAACTTAAGTCTAGTAATCTAGTAAGTAGTTACTTAAAGTCAAGTATTTTGATCTAATGTAAACTTTAGTAAATGTGCTATACTTATTGATAGTGGGACTCTTGTAAAATTGGTAATGTTGACCAGATACTGCTAAAATGCATAAGGACAGATAAACCTGGAACTACATAAATACCTGGAACAGTATGGAAAATACCATGAGACCAAAAGACTTCCTTAAAATCTATAATCTATAATAAGTATAAAAAACACAGTGTTTTTTGCGTAGGGAATAATATATAATGATCAATAGTCCTTTAGTTGTTATTGCATTCAAAGAAAACATGGTTCAGATCTTTAAAAGAAACATTATCTCAAGTGATATTGATGAATCTAAAATACCTAATTTTGGAAGGTAATTGAATACTGTAACCCCAAATGGACTGCATTCTATATTTTTTCTAAAAATTATAAAAACTGACGCAATAATTTCTTATCTTAGAGTTAGAACTGCTAAATAATCAAGACCAAGTCCGCAGGCTCAAACGTACCAAACCTTTCAACTTGTGTGATAAAGATTAATGTATAAATGTCTACCTGTGGCATTAAAGTAGCAGGTTAGGTTAAATATAAAATGCTATTTAATCATAGATTGGATTTATTGTTCCTTTAATAAATTAATGAAAACAATGATTTTTATCAGCGTACTAGTATAAACAACACTTGAAATAATCGTTCTAGTTCAGTCAGCTCCCAAACTATTAGTCACAAACGACGATGTATTACAAACATATTAAAAATAAACTGCAATTGTTGTTTCAAAAAGTGTTCATAAAAAATAATTTATTGTACGCAAATGGCTACTTGACAATGAAGTTGGATTACGAGTATTTGCCTGATAAAAGGTAAATAAAAATGCTAATAGTTGTTTGTATTTTTCTCCTAATAATTGTCAATTACTGTCATTAAGGAAATTATAGTGTGTTCATTACGGACGCCATATACGGGATTCTCACGAAAAATCGTCACAAAAACAACAATAGAAAATAATTTTACGGAAAGTAGATTTAGAACTGTTTATAGACAATTTAGAAAACGTGTATGTCCATCAATGGAATTCGGTCGTCCACAACTTAATCTCTTGTTGTAGTCTACTATGCAAATACCAAATACCAAACCCCTAAAAACAAATAGGAAAGCTTGAAGAGCATAGAAAACATCAATAAATGAAGCTGGAGAAAGACAGAAGCTGTGTAAAATATTTTAAAAAAAAATCTTAAAACATGTAGAAATGACTCCAAAAGTGGTAATTTATTTCGAGGAAATAAGTACAGTGTGGAAACCACTTATGGATAAAAATTGTTTGTGTCAATTGAGACGTTAACTTTTAATTTAAATTTGTGCTTTTTAAACATAAATTTAAATGTATCGGTTACGGCGAGAATAATTGTAGAAGTCAAGTTGAAGTAGCAAACTTTATTTAATCAGAGGTATCCTCAGTTGCCTAATATTTCACAAGGTACTATGTCTAAAATGTATGCACAATTCAGAGAACTTGGACATATCAAACTTCATTGAAGATGAGGTGAAAGTGGATACATATTTTGTCGCAGAGAATCCAACGTCAAGTTCACGTCAAATTGCACGTCAAAATAAGTGAGTCACACAACTGTCCTAAGGTGTATCCATGAAGAAAAACTTCATCATCCCATATAAATGACTTTTATGCAGTAACAAAAGACGATCCAGATCGTAGATGGATTCTGCGAAGAATGATGGATACAATAACACAAATGGAATAGCTCTTGGCACAATTCTTTTTTCTGATGAATCAACATTTACATTGAACAAAGAGATAAACCCACAAAACTGTAAATATTGGTCAGCGGAGAATCCTGCATTGGATGCGTGAGACACACACACACCAACATCCCCTCCACACACAGTATCCTCAAAAGTTGAACGTTTAAGGCAGATATTATAAAGATCATATTATTGGTCCTATATTTGTTAAGATGGTTAATTGAGACTGCGGAAATAATATTTCAAGCATGTCTAAGAGATGGCGATGTTCTTCCTCAGTTGGCTAACTTATATTCCAATCCAATAGATCCGACAATACCGCATGAAACTGTCTGGTTCCAGCAGGACGGTGCAACACCCCATTATGCTTTAATGGTGAGAAATTACTTGAATGAAATCTTCTTCAATAAATGGATTGGACGAAGGGGTACTATTGAGTGTCCAGCTAGGTCGCCAGATCTTACGCCATTGGATTTTTTTCTGTGGGGTTATCTCAAGAGTATATGCAACACAACCAACTAGCATTGAAGGCCTCAAAGAACGGATAACTACAGAAATACGGAATATTTCACCTCAAACTTTAAACAAAGTTCGGGTTATATAGGAGACTGTGTTATTGCCAACAATAAGGTGGAGAACATTTTGAATATTAATTGTAATGTAATCCAATCAATTACCTCGTGTATTCTATGAATTAATTGTCTTCACCTTGTATTATTAATTATAGACCCTACATGATATAGTTCGTTAAGATCGGGCTGTAAAGGAGCTTTTAAAAACATAAAAATATACAGGGTGTTTCATTTAAAATACAGATTATGACTATGCAGACTTGCTGATCACCTGTACATTCAAATTATTTTAAAAACGCACATTTAAATTAAAAATAGGTATCCAACGTTTTTATTTTTCTAAATAGGACACAAACAATTTTATTCCATAAGTGGTTTCCACACTGTATATGAATTTATATTGGGAAAACATTTAAAAGATAATAAAGCAGCAAGTTATTCAAAAGTAAAAAAAGGATAAATATACAAAAAAGTGCAGATACTACAAATACTTATTGTGCAGTTAAATAAAAGAATTTGGAAAGGAAGAAGCAAGTGAGGCAGATACAAAATAGAAGGAAAGAAAAAACTATAAGAAACCTAAAAACATAAAGTCAAATTTTATTGACCTGGAGGATGAGAGAATACAATAAACTGAAGAGTAAAAAAAATATGGAGAAGTAATAGTTTTTGAGAATATCAAAGTTTGCAAAGAGTCGATGATTATAGAAGCGTAGTTATACCAATCGTAATTTAGAAATCTAAATAGAATAAATAAACCTGAGACATTACATTCGATCCATCTATTATATGTACCATCCAAATTAAATACTTCACTTGAGAAAAATACTATGACACCGATATAGGTGTTGTAAGATTATTATAATTTTTTGTAATAAATGAGAAAACAGTTATGCTTGGTCGTTTTATATATAAAAAGGGTTTTGATCAAATAGTAAGTCGACTGTATGGACTATAATCCTAAATTTAAAGACTAAATGTGAAAGCAAAATATACGTACATATCCGTACATGCTGAACTTAACCATAAGCGCAAAAAGGCATCAATATATCACAACTAATATCACAAATCACAAGCCAGTAACAATTTACGAAAATAGCTTGCCGCAAAAACAGTAAAACACCAAAAAATTCACGATATCGGGCGGTAATATCCACGTGATGTCATTCTCGCTTCGTCAAAACCGATTTTCCAATGTTTCCAAAATAAATTGCACTAATTTTTTCGGTAAACAGGTCGAAATCGACCGCAACTGTCTACTCGACCGCGAAGTTGGACAATTATTTAACGCGAAATTACAACGTAAACAGAAATGCACTTTTTCGATTGCGATTTCGAAATCGAAACGGTCGGTGTAAAGTTGAACCTGCGATACAATAACAAACTAACGTTTGGAACATTAACAACAACATCAAAAGAAGTGAATGATAATGAAATTGCTGCTGGTATTAATCTGTATGATGTCATTAGCACTGGCGCGCGCTTTCAATACTTACGGGATACGTATTTAACATTCAAAAATAATTAATAGTGATACAAATTATATATTATATAAATATTATGTTTTTATTCGTGTAATATATAATGTATATAATTATTTTTTATTAGATTGTCACACATATAACTTAACTTAATCAGTAGACCCATTTGTACCTTTCGGTGTTGGGCCGTTTATAATACAATTCATTCAATTACAATATTTTACATCTTCTGAGGTGTCCTAGCTCTTAACGAACTTGCTTCATTCCTTCCTATTGGATGCCATATGTGTTGCTTCCTGTCAAGTCTTACCCTTACTCTGCAGTATCTGCGAGATGTCACTCTTCCATTCTTTAATGGGTCTTCCTTTTCTGTTCTTCCCTATTGGTTTGGCGTCCCACATTATTTTTACTTGTCTATTATTGTCCATCCGGTTAGATGTCCGAACCATGCCAATTTTTTCTCCTTGATTGAGTCGAGAATCGGTTTGATTTTGAGTCTTTCTCTTATTTCTTCATTTCTGATTCTATCGGTTCTTTTTACTCCGATCGTTCTTCTGATATATTTCATCTACGCTGCCTGAATTCTGCTCTGATGCCTTCTGATTGTTTAATATCCAATTTTCTTCTCCATATGTCACTGTAGGTCTGTATATTGTTTTGTATATTGTCATCTTGGTCTTTGTTGATATTTCTTTGTTATTAAGGAATCCTTTATTTAGTGCTTGAAATAGTTTTCCTGTATTTTCCATTCTGTTGTTAAGATCGTCCTCGATGTCTCCGTTGTTGTTGATTACTGTTCCTAATCCAAATTTTTCTTTTGCTTTTACTCCTATATATTTCTAGTGCTACTTCATCGCTTCCTGGTGCTTTTCCAATCTTTATCTTTCTTACTGCTTCTTCCAGTTCTTTTTTTATATTTTCTGGATTTTCCGTGTTTCTCATGGATACTCTCTTGATGTGGCTTTCCTTCTCCATTGTGTTCCCTTGATTTCCATTCAGTATCAGCTGGAAATGTTCCCTTCATCTTTCCATTATTGTCTTATCGTCGTTTATTATTTTTCCTTCCTTGTTCATTATTTGTTTCAGCTTCGCTTCTTTGTTGCTTTTTAGGTTTTTCAGTGTTCTATAAAATAATTTTACGTTTTCCGTGCTGTTTTCTTCCATTTTTCTCCATATTTTTCCGCTTTTTTCTTTTTTTCTTTCTTAACTAACTCTTTAACTTTTGTTCTTTGTCTCTCATAATTTTCATATTTTTGGTTGTGTTTGTGTCTTGTATGTATTCTTTCCATAATTTCTTCTTTTCTTTTATTTCTCTTTTAACTTCATCGTTCCACCAAGATGTAAGTTTTTCTCTGTTGTTATTTCTTGTAGTTCCACATATTGATTTAGCTGTTTTCATCATAGCATTTTTAAATTTTCCCCATTCTTCTTCTATTGTTTCTGTTATTTCATGTTCATTGCCCATCTCTTTCTCTAGCCCTTCTGAGTATCTTATTTTCGTTGTTTCTTCCCTTAGTTTATAAATTTTTATTTTTTCTTTGTGTTTTCTGTTTATTTTCTCTTTTCTATTTTTCTTTTCTTTTGCTTTTGAATGTGGTTTCTAGTAGATAGTGGTCACTATCAATCATAACTCCTTTCACCCTTACGTCTCTTATCCAGTTCTCTGTTTTTTTGCACTATAGTATAGTCTATAATTGATTGTTCGTCTCTTGATTTGACTTCTCTTGTGATCTTGTGTATCCTTTTATGTTATGGAAGTGTGTTCATAATCAGCGCAGGTTATTGTCTAGACAGAATTCGAGTAGTAATTTTCCATTTTTGTTTATTTTTTCCTCCCCATAAAGTCCGATGTTATTGTTCCATTTTTCTGCTTCTTTCCTCACTCTACTGTTCATGTCTCCTGTGATCACAATTTTCTCTGTACAATCATCTATCACTTCCTGTAATTTGTCCCAGAACTCATTCTTTTCGTTTTTTGTTGCGTCTCCATCTGGTCCATAGCATATGATTAGGTTTGAATTGGTTTCCTCTGTATCCATATCTATGTCTACTCTTAGTATACGTTCGTTGTGATATATCCAATTTTTTACTTTGTTGATACTGTCCTTCTTTATCATGCAATGTTCATTATCTCTAATTTCTTCCCCCAGTTCTATTCTCTTCCCATTTATACCTCTTACATTCCATGATTAGCTTCGACATTTTTAAAATTGTTTTGATCTTTTCTGTGTTTGAGTTGTACTTCAATTTGTTTTTCCTTCCGTTTGTGTTATTACCTTTAAATCTGCTCATGTCCCTGTTCTGTGCTTGTTTTGTTTCTCGGTCCGTCATTGTGCTTTCTTCAGCTAGTTCTTTGAACAAGTTGGTTCTGTATTGTATGTTACTTTTTTATCCGGCTTGTTTTTTGATACCATTTCCACTTAATGCCTTCAATAACTATGAAACCATATCCAATTTTTGTCCTTTTCCCATTAGTCTTTTCATCTGCTGCTATATTGCTAAGGTTTTTTTGTATTTCTAACTCTTTTAATGTTAGTTCACATTCTATATATACTATATGTTGCTTATAGTTCATTAGTTTACCCTTGGCTTTCAATATTTTCATTTTATCTTCGAATTTTTTACATTCGATAACACATATTGTTTCATTTATTTTTTGTACCCTATTTATTTCTGATTTTACTCCCATTTTTGTTTCTATGATTTTCTCTAGTTCCTCTGCTTCTATTGTGCCTATTGGTAAGCCTCTCATTATTAGGTTATTTCCTTCTTTTCTTTCTGACATGCTTCCAAGGTTATTTCTATTTTATCTATTTTTTGTTCATCGTAGCCATTTCTTTATTTAGATTTTAATTTTCTCTTATTATTTCTTTCATTTGCAATTTGTATTCACTATTTTCCTTCCTAATTTCTTTTAGTTCCTCAATCATATTACCCATTGTATTTTTTATATCTTCCAGGTCAGTTTTTCTTTTTTCCATACAATTTCTATTTTTTGCGAGTTTTAAAACTTAGGACACTTCTGTCTCAATTTAAACAGACAAACTCATTAAACTGAAATATGGGATAGAATTAAGAAAATTAAAAAGATTAAAAATCTGTATGTGCACCACGAAAACATCGTTGAAAATTTGTTTCATAAAATAGCTCCTTGCTATGTTCTTTCTCCAATATATCCCACTGAAGATAAATTGAAATCACATTTTTGTCATCTCCTATTAGTATCAATGAACTAACTGCTAATATCAAGTATTTTAAGACATCCTTCCCTGGGATTGATGGTATCAATTATCTTATGATATATAACTTGCCTACAATAGTACTTCAATTTCTCCGTGATGTTTTTAATAATATTCTAATTAAAGGTGATAACTGTGATTCGTTGAAGCAGTGTCTTGTAATATCTATCCCAAAAGCTAATGATCCCAATGTCCTAAGACCGATATCTTTATGTCATGTACATTGAAAATATTTAAACGATTCATGAAAAACCGATTAGAATGGTGGATGGAAAGTAACAAGCTTTACCCAGACGGTCAGCTTGGGTTTCGTAGAGGGAAAGGAACTATGTATTGCATTTCGCACTTAGAAACTAAGAAAGTTCTCGAAAATTTGATCGGTTATAGATCACTGTGAACACGGGTTACACCCTTAAAACAAACTATCTGCTCTTCCTTCAGAAATTCATGAATTATTCATAAATTATTTAAGGCGAAGGCCGCTTATCTATCAGTTAATCACTGTTAACACGTTAAAAAATCATTTTTTTACCTATCCTAAAATCGATCCACTACGCCACTTTTTAACCCAGTTAAAATTATGTACCTGTAAATTTACAACCCCATCTAAATTTTAACATACATGTGCTACATATTTTTGAAATCAACTGTATTTATTTAAATAATTATTCACCGGGAGTAGACGTGGGTGGATACGAGGCACCGTAGAGAGGAAACAATCGGAGTGAGACAAGTAATTTTCGTGTTTTTTGGCATCATGCTACAAAGTGACAAACACTTTCGTCTTAAGATAAGCAGAAAAATGCAGCTCCAGAAATTTGATAAGAGTATAAATGTATATAAATAATGTACATTGTATTACGAGAAATATCGTTTTTCGTTTACAGGTAGGAGTAGGTACAAGTTACGATCAAAGACATACAGTATTGTGCGAATTAATGGAATCACTGTGAATTTTTTTTCATTTTTTCAATATTCACAGATGGCAACACTACCTACACAGTTGACAGCTGACCAAGCATTGAAAACCTATCCTTACTGTGTGTTGGTGTGTTTGAGTGTGTTTTAGGTCATTTCTTACCAAGCTTGTGTTGTTTTGGGGGTTTTTGTACTATTTTGTGTTGTTTTTGGTTTTATTCCAACATGGATATTACGCCTAGGAAGCGTGAAAAGATTGTCACGTTGAGTGAACACACTAGTATGTCACAAAGAGAGATTGCTAGAACGTGTGGAGTGAGTCAGGGGGTAGTAAGCAAAATTTTGAAGCGTAAACGAGAAACGGGATCAGTGGATTGTGAAGAGGTTAGGAAAATGTGGAAGAAAGAGAAAAACAACACACCAGCAGATGATAGATTTTTACTTCGAAAGAGCAAATTGGACCCAAGAAAATCAAGCCAAGACCTACAACAAGATCTAGCAGCATCAGCTATAGTGATTCATGACTCAACTGTTCGTAGAAGACTTTTGGAGAATGGTAGAAGGGCAATTCGTCCACAGAAAAAACAGCTTCTAACTGAACGAATAAGAAACAAAGCTACTATGGGCCAAAAAATACTCTAATTGGACTGTAGTTTCAGGGACACGTCGAAATTCGTCAGGAAGTCTGACAATGAAAAGCTTACACCATCTCATATTGATCAAACCGTAAAACATCCAGTCAAGAAAATGTTTTGGGATGTTTTTCATACATGGGGGTTGGATCTTTGGTGCCAATTGAAGGCATTGATGAACAGCCAAAAATACAAATCCATGTTGGAAAAGTATTTGGACAAACAACTCCAAAAATGTCAACCCCAAGGAGGAGCGATTCTTCAACAGGACTCTGCTCCCTGTCACAAATCAAAGGAAATGATGGCATTTTTCAAAAATAAGAAGATTAATGTTTTTAGATTGGCCCGGTAATTCGCCGACCTCAACCCCATTGAAAATTTATGGGCCATTTGCAAAGCTAGACTGCGAAAAATCGACTGTACCACTAAAACAAAAATGATAGAAGCGGCCATTCAGGTTTGGTATCGAGATGAAAGGATATCTGACAACTGCCAGAAACTCATAGAACCTATGCCAAAACGGGTAAAAGCAGTAATTGCTGCCAAAGGGGGACATATTTCCTACTGAATGATGTAAGTTTACCTTTATAGTTTTGTCAAAATATAATTTTGTACTAAATAAACTGTTTTTTCATTAAAACAACCTATGATTCCATTAATTCGCACAATATTGTAAGATGTTGCTTCTTAAAAGTTGGGGAAAAACTAACGTAAAACTAACGAAAAGGTCGAACACTGTCGAAGATGTAAATGGAGCTCTTCGATGAATATCACCCTTAAACATTTACAATTTGTTATAATTATGTATATAGTAAGAGCCATTCTATACCCGACAAATCTTTTGTATGTTACGACAGTGATATTCAAGAGCATGTGTGTTAAATCGTCATTTAAGAATGAAATTTATATCTCGTTTAACCTTAGAAAATGTTGTCATCGATATTTATCCATAACCTAATAACCATCGGCTTCGGTATTAAGTTTAACATTCAATAAAATATCAATAAAAACAGACAATTGACCCTAAAACATAATAATTAATCGATGTGTGTTATTCATGTAAAGAAGTTATTATTAAAAACGAAAGACAAGATATTTGTACTTGAAAAATGACCGGTTTAATGATAAATGTATTTAAAAAAAAAACATTAAGTTTTTAGTTATTTGTTGACATAAAAAAAGGGTT